ATTATTATTGTTATTATTTTTATTATAATTATTATTATTTTATATTCCAGTATAACGGTTTCTAAAATTGACAACTTACAGTGTGTAGATAGTTTTCACTGTCACGCAATAAAAAAGTAAATCGAAAACCATCCAGTGGAAATAGCTAAGAAGTTCTGATGTTATAGAAGATAACTAAATAAGAAACTTCTGCTGTGCGTTTCACCAAACTTCAGATATTCGTTGAAATGTTTCGCAGAAATTTACAGAGCCCAGTATGAAAACGCCATTTTGGTGTACATCCGTGGTACACCAATATGACGGCCGGAAAATAGTGCAAACATCTGGAACTTACGTTGGCTATCTAGACGACTGATTGTCAGTACTGAACAAACAAGCATTTATATAAGCGCTTTTCCTAATGTTCTAACTTCTTAAAACGCTCAAAATCATAGGATGAGTATACATTTTTCAAGAAACTTGTGTCACGCACCACCAAAACCCTGCAATTCAAAATGCTCTGGCTTCCAAACGAAGCATGCTATTGAGCTGTAAAATTGTGAACAGCTATAAATATACCTGAGGATGATAAAAACTTTGGTTAATCTTTAGTTTTGGATTTTAGAAAGTGATGACCTCACGTGATCTATATGGTTACATTTTTGTTTTTTGTTTGGTCCTAGCTAGGAACTCTATCGATCAATTAACACACTTAAATGCTTACTTCCAGTGCATTTCCAGCCGGGCTTTGATGCTTTTCAAAACCATCGACCTGATGCCACTCATCAAGGAGAAAAATTCTTGGGTGATAATTCCGTAGTTCTGAGCGATACTGGCTTTTTTTGTTGACATATAGGTTATCTGTGACTTAGGATCAATGCCAGGCCAACACATCTTCAGCTTGTTGATCAAGTGATNTGATGCTTTTCAAAACCATCGACCTGATGCCACTCATCAAGGAGAAAAATTCTTGGGTGATAATTCCGTACTTCTGAGCGATACTGGCTTTTTCTGTTGACATATAGGTTATCTGTGACTTGGGATCAATGCCAGGCCAACACTTCTTCAGCTTGTTGATCACGTGATCCTGGACCTCTTTTACTTCTTTCTCCGGAATTTGGTCCCATTTGTTGCACACGAACAAAGCACACTGAGATAAGACTAATCCTTCTTGTCTCTCAATCGTCATCTTCTTCACTTCATCCAGCAACTTTTCAAGCTGTAAATCAAAAGTACCATGAATGAAAAAAAGGCAGAACAAGTGACGATTTTCGCTAGTTTATTCACAGAAATAGATCAACACTAGGATTCCCCCCGCAGTAAGAGCCGAAGCGTTACCGGGACCGTCGGCAGAGATAGGAAAATCCGGACGGTGCAAAGAACCAATCAGACTGTAGGATTCGTTACCGTGCCTCCTGCTTCTCTTGAGGATTGCCTTACAAGCTTTTGCCTTCGTGCCTTAGGAATAGGGTTTCTTTGTTTGAGGGCCGGACGAGTGTTGAACCTTTTTCTCTATGTGAACCCCTTCTGTCCTATATTACCCTGCGAGCAGAGTCCCTTTCGATCTTCCTAGAAAAATCGAGAAGATCGAAGGAGACTCTGCTCATAGGTTAGGCCTATATCTGCCGATTTCAGTAAAAAATATTATTGCGCAAATGCTCAGTAACGTCACTACTATTATTCTATTTCAATACTCACTCTGTGTTTTTGAATTCCTCCAGCGTTTGCACTGCTTATGACATAAATGAAGGCAAAGGCTTGTGGTAAATACTGCGAGACTATCTCGTCCATCGTATCAGACTCACCAATACCCGGACTGTCAATTATAACCACGCCTTTCTGAAATATAGAGAATGTAAAGGTGGGCTGCTTTTTTTTCTTTCAATTATTCCATGAAGCTCATCGGTATACTGTATGAGATGATCAACACAACGGGTGGATTATGAAATTAGAATGAATTAAATTTTTCTTTGTTTAGAGCGGTTTTCACTTGAGTGTCGAAAGTAATCCGCGTTTGATTGGTTTCGCATTTGTAACACCAAAACCAATCACTCCTCGCTCGCACATGTTTTCCGTTCTTTGCATCAGCTACATGTATTTGCTTCGAGTTTTAATTGGTTCATGTGGCTGTCTGCGTCTTTTGTGATTGGTCAAAGTAATACTGAAGATTTTTTTCTACTCAGCTGAAAACCACACTATTTGTTCTTCACAATATATTTGGAGGGAGTTAAACATAGATTGGGTCTACAGATTCCCCGTGATTTTTTTGAGCTACGTGACAGAGTTCACTTTGTTGAAGAAGACCGATAGATACAGTCGGAGGCTTTGTTTTCTTTAGATTTCAGATCTTGTGAGGAGAATCATTATATTATTTAGTTTAAAGTCATTGTGCTGTGAAGGGAAGACTGAACTGAACTAATCTTTTCGATAAATCAACGAATCAACCATTTTTTTCCGATGTGTTAACAGTTTTATAATTTCTCTTAACACTCGAAACGCGTTTCATTTTTTTCCTTGATCACGTGATGAATCATGTGACTCCACTCCCCCGTATCCAGATTCTGTACGGACGAATGAATGCTCACTCATTTAGTGACGCAATAGCCAAATTTTCTCGGTATATATTTATGGCTTATCCAAAACTCTTTATCCATGGTGCTGCGCTGGCCCGCTTCGGGCAAGAGCTCCGCTAACATACAGACGAACTTAAATTAAGCGGCCACCCCTGTCCAGTTCCCTCTATGAAACACGCTTGCAGATAACTCATGATAGTTGTATTCACCTAAAAAATAATCCAGTCTAAGAAGATGAATTCAACTACCATGGTTCCCTGCAAGGACGTATCATGGACGAAATTGGCTTTTGAACGGCACCCCTTGTTAGGCGGCCAGTTTAACTGTCAAAGTCCCGAAATTGTTAATGAGACCCTGCTAGTGTGCAATTTAGTATAAATTATTAAAGCCACACCCACACAGGGGGAGTGGCAGATATAACAGTACCAACAAGGATATTTATATGGGTAACAACATTGCAACCCCCCTCCCCTTTTGCTGGGTAGATACAGGAAACAGAAACAAAACACTGATTATGGTGGCAAAACATGAGTGGCAGGGAAGACAGAGCCTATCTCCCCTAGAGTAGCGGCGTCTTTAGGGGAACCTATGTTACTAAGGGGACCAGAAGAGGGGTGCCCCTCTGGGAGGACAATAGGTCAGATGGTACGATGG